TAAAATCCAGAAGGGGAAGTTGAGAAAAAGTTGATACTTTAGGATGTTAGCATAGACGAAAATCGCCCATAATCCCACTACCCAGAGACATGGAAGTTAGATATCTTTGATTGCTATCATTTTGTTCAATAATGAAAACTCTTAAACGATCTTTTAATTTTTAGATATTGAATTAATTGAGAATGTATAAGTACTTGATAGGACGCATGCTTTTGCCTCTAATGGATGGCTGTTGTTCCCAGACCATTTACTGATTTGTTCATTGTTCTCCCACTGATTTGAAATGCCACCTTCGTTACAGAGTTCCCATGGTTATTTCTGTCTCTGGACTCTGCACTCTGCAGTTTGTTTCCCTGCCCCTACCACTCGTTTACGTTACCTTGGTTTGACTGTATATTTTGTTTTGTGGTAGGGTAAGCTCTGACCTCTTCCCCCACAGCTCAAACATTCTCTCTCAAATCTTTTGTTTTTATTCTTGTGTATTTACTCTTCTGGATGAACTTTAGAATACGCCTCTCAAGTTTCATTGGCAAAAATTCAATTTGGATTTTAATTTGGATTAATTTATAGATTAATATGAGGAACTATTTTTGCCTAATATGCCTCTTATTGTTTCTAGAAGTTTCAGTGAAATATTTGAGTGTTTTTTTATTTTAGGTCGATAGAATTCTTTGTAGAAAGAAGCACACTAACTTTGATATTGATGGCATCACATTTCTGTAGGCAAATTTATAATTTTCAATCGCTTGAAGTAAAAAGTTCAATTGAATCCAGGTGGGGAAGTGAAGAATATATGGTGAAATTCTGAAAATGGGCATTTGTCTTCGTTATATATGAAATTAGTGGCCTTTTAAGAAGAATAGCAGATTTTCAGTGGCCACAGTGGTTAGAAGAACCCCAAAGATGGCCCAAAATTGTTACTCATGACTATGCCTTGTTTATTCCTCCACACTTTTTTCCCCCTGAAATCTGTTCCTATTCTATTCAGTAGAATTATCTTAAGTAGTTTTACCTAAACCTATCTCCTTTGAGACTTACCTACTGTTTCTGAATGAAAACATTCTTATTTTTTTTCCTTTGTATTTTTTCTTAAAAATTTGCCAGAGGGTGTGTGTGTTGTGGGGGTGGGGAGAGAAAGTGAGAAAGCACCTTCCATGGGGAATGACCACACCACAATTTCTTCTTCATTTCTCCTTCCTTTTGGAATTTTGGGTATGCACACACATACAACAGCATATTTCTCAAGCTGCCGGGTTTGGCACTTGACCTGTGTGGTTGGCCATGTTGGATCCAGCAGCCTTAACCACCAGGCTACACGCGGGGCCATTTATTTCCTTTTTCTGTCTTCTTCTAGGCCACTCCTTCCTATTTCACTGGGTCTTTCTGTTAGTTTCTGTATTATTCCCTTTCATTCTTTTTCTATAATATTCATAACCGTGCCTTTCTGATGTCTTTGTAGTTACCAAATAATGGACTCCTTTTATTATTGAATATTATTAGTTCATGTGTGTTTATGCCTTAGTCTGTCCTTGTAATGATTACCTGGGCATGTGAATAAAATCCAGAAGGGGAAGTTGAGAAAAAGTTGATACTTTAGGATGTTAGCATAGATGGAAGTTAGATATCTTTGATTGCTATCATTTTGTTCAATAATGAAAACTCTTAAACGATCTTTTAATTTTTAGATATTGAATTAATTGAGAATGTATAAGTACTTGATAGGACGCATGCTTTTGCCTCTAATGGATGGCTGTTGTTCCCAGACCATTTACTGATTTGTTCATTGTTCTCCCACTGATTTGAAATGCCACCTTCGTTACAGAGTTCCCATGGTTATTTCTGTCTCTGGACTCTGCACTCTGCAGTTTGTTTCCCTGCCCCTACCACTCGTTTACGTTACCTTGGTTTGACTGTATATTTTGTTTTGTGGTAGGGTAAGCTCTGACCTCTTCCCCCACAGCTCAAACATTCTCTCTCAAATCTTTTGTTTTTATTCTTGTGTATTTACTCTTCTGGATGAACTTTAGAATACGCCTCTCAAGTTTCATTGGCAAAAATTCAATTTGGATTTTAATTTGGATTAATTTATAGATTAATATGAGGAACTATTTTTGCCTAATATGCCTCTTATTGTTTCTAGAAGTTTCAGTGAAATATTTGAGTGTTTTTTTATTTTAGGTCGATAGAATTCTTTGTAGAAAGAAGCACACTAACTTTGATATTGATGGCATCACATTTCTGTAGGCAAATTTATAATTTTCAATCGCTTGAAGTAAAAAGTTCAATTGAATCCAGGTGGGGAAGTGAAGAATATATGGTGAAATTCTGAAAATGGGCATTTGTCTTCGTTATATATGAAATTAGTGGCCTTTTAAGAAGAATAGCAGATTTTCAGTGGCCACAGTGGTTAGAAGAACCCCAAAGATGGCCCAAAATTGTTACTCATGACTATGCCTTGTTTATTCCTCCACACTTTTTTCCCCCTGAAATCTGTTCCTATTCTATTCAGTAGAATTATCTTAAGTAGTTTTACCTAAACCTATCTCCTTTGAGACTTACCTACTGTTTCTGAATGAAAACATTCTTATTTTTTTTCCTTTGTATTTTTTCTTAAAAATTTGCCAGAGGGTGTGTGTGTTGTGGGGGTGGGGAGAGAAAGTGAGAAAGCACCTTCCATGGGGAATGACCACACCACAATTTCTTCTTCATTTCTCCTTCCTTTTGGAATTTTGGGTATGCACACACATACAACAGCATATTTCTCAAGCTGCCGGGTTTGGCACTTGACCTGTGTGGTTGGCCATGTTGGATCCAGCAGCCTTAACCACCAGGCTACACGCGGGGCCATTTATTTCCTTTTTCTGTCTTCTTCTAGGCCACTCCTTCCTATTTCACTGGGTCTTTCTGTTAGTTTCTGTATTATTCCCTTTCATTCTTTTTCTATAATATTCATAACCGTGCCTTTCTGATGTCTTTGTAGTTACCAAATAATGGACTCCTTTTATTATTGAATATTATTCTTAGTGCTAGTATTCTTGGGCATCTCCCTTTAGTAGGCAAGTCTTATTTTTGACATGGTGGTTGTTTATTTCTTTTACTAATGTGAAGCGTGGTATGGTTCTTGAAAGAGGTATAATGAATTAACATACTGTACTGTTTGAGGCTAAGTTTGTGTTGGAAAAAGTTGCAATTAAACTCTTTCGTAAGTCGTAGTCCTTGTTCACCCAACCAAATAAAATAGTAATCTGATAGTTGTTTTAAATAGATGCAAATTTGATATCCCTGTGATCTGTGAAAATCTTGCTCTGTTTATACAATTTGTTTTCTATTAAAAAAAATCACAAACAGGTCAGGTTAGATTCTGTTGTGGATAATTAACAGTCCCTGTAGCAACATGACTAAAGCAAGCTGTTCTTCCTTTTTTAGGAGTTGAAATGTACGTTTCCTTTCTCAGTCATGTCAGACATTTGTTATTGTTTTCTTTTTTGCTTTTCAGATCTCCTTCCTGAACTTTTTTGGAAGCTATTGTATAGTAAATTTTTCTTGGCAGGCTATTTTCTATTGATTACATTTGTGTAAGTGTGCTCATAGGCAGAGAAAGGACAATTACTAATTGTAAACTGGTGATTTTTTTTCAGAGCTCCGTAATTTGTGTTTATATCAATCCATAATTTTGGATAACTTTTTGAATATGTTCAATGGACTGCAAACTACTAGGAAGACATTGCTTTTTAATTTATAAAGTTTTAAGAATTAATAACCATATGGCTACTGGAGAAGGGAGCTCTGCACTGGTATTTTTTTTTTTTTTTTTTCCTGTTGTTGTTATTGTTTGTTGGTTTGTTTTTGATCCTAATTGGCCTCACTTTTATTCTCCTACCATCTGTCTCTGTGATCTTCCTAAAAGGCAAACAGACATTAGGGAGACTGTGTGGACATTTCTTTGTTCTCTTTTCTCTCCATCTCAGGGTGTGCGAATCTCGGAGAGCATGGGTGTTTTTGCTGGGCAAGCCCACAGAAGCCCGGATGCTTCAGCACACCAGGCTGGGCCCTGGAGGCCCTCCAGAGTGGATGACCCTCTCCACCTTCTGGTTTCCATTTCCCTGCCACTCCCACAGGCTAGGCGGAATGCACCTTCTCCCTGGAGACCCCATTTTGTACTACCTTTTTGTGTGTAGTATAGAGAGTCCCTAATCTTCCAGCCAAGGGAATCTGGCAGGCTTGTCAGTGATTGCTGCTCCCTTGGGTGTAACCCTGCTGAATGAGTCCCCAGTCCCCAGTCCTCTGGATGAGAAGATCCTTGAGAGCACTAGCCTGCTGCCCCACTTCTCCAACATTTGTCCTCACAGTGTGCTGGAGTGGTAGCTCCTCTCCTTGGGACCAGGGCAATTTGCAGGGCTGTGTGCTGAGCAGAAGCTCTTAAGAGAAAGTGTGAGGCCAGGCCAGGTTAGAAAGAGGATGTGGAAATCCCTCAGAGAAGACAAACAGCAAATGGAAATGCCTGACAAGTGTGAAGCCAGTGTGTAGTAGTCTTATTTATTTGACAATGCTCATGAATGTTGAAGGTTCCATAGAGGATAAGACCAGAGCCAAGAATAATTATCTTGAATTTTTGCATGAGTAGTGGTATTTCAGGTACAGGTCAAAAATGTAATGTATGCAACAATGCTGGATAGATCTGAATTCAAAGTAAGACAGGTGCTACACTCATACATCTAGAAAGTTAGAAGGAAGAAAAAAAGTCTTCTCTATGTCCTGAACATCTCCAGCTTTCAAAACAGAACAAACCAGCTCTGATATTCATACTTAAACATATCAGGAAGCATTTTTCCTGATGTCAAAAATTGTTGTTGTTGGAAAGAAGGATTCATGATATCTGAGCTCAACTACATGAAGTGAATATAAAAATGCCATTGTTTTGGGGCCAGGCTCTTTTTATGGTGATTTCTTAGAGCCATGACAAGGAAGTATATAAATGCTCTGACTTATTTATTTTTCAGGGGCAGATGACAGTCTTTGCAAAGTTTGGCAAAAATGTTTATCTTCCTGAAGATGCCGAGTTTTACTTTATTTATGATGGCTCTCACCAGAGACACATCATGTTTGCAGAGCGCATTGAGGATAACGTTCTCCGGTCCAGCATTCCAGGTGAGGTGACCTCTTTGTTGCGTGCCTGGAACATCTGTGTTTGCAAGTGTCTTTCTCCCAGCCATATAGGTCAGGAAGAGAGCCACAAGGGAAAAGAAAACAGTGCTCCAAGGTCCTGCATGGATGTGAGTGTTTGCATATGCATGTGCGTACACAGATTAGAAAGAGCATGCACCCTGCATTGACTCATGTCTAAGCTATGCCTGCAGCTTGGAGCCTGGACCTAGCCTGGGTAGGCCCATCCTGCTGGCAGCACCCAGCTCTCAAGGTTGGGTGTGCTTTAGATGCAATCAAATGGAGGAAACACTGTTTCTTAAGTGTCACCTCTTATAATCTCAGGGCCAAATGCCAGGGCTCGCTCAGGTAAAGCTGACATGGACAAAGTTTGTCTCCATTCTCGCTTCCTCATTCCCTGTGGTCAACCTCGCAGCCCCCGGTCTACCTTTCCCTTGCCTTGCTCCCTTTGGGATCTGGGGATTCCTTCCTCTGTACTCTGTCCATCCAGAATCTTCCTTACTGGATATCAGACTCCAGAGCTTTCTTTCCCCACCAACCAAGTGTTCCTATTTGAGCCCTGTAATTACCCCAGTTGTCTTCAAATACTACAGTGACAGATGACAAATTAATGCACCCTGTTTGTGTGTTATGTGCTAGTAGTCCTCAGAAAAAGTAGTTTTGTATGTCCATGAGGGGCTTAATTGTGTGTCTAAGAGACATCAAGCTTTAACATAATGGTGGAATTAAATCTCATTACCTGTGGGCCAAAGAGGATAGTTTCTCTATATTTTTCTTTTTCAATTTTACTATAGTGCTCACCAGAGAGAGACAGAGACAGAAACAAAGAGTAAGAGAGAGAGAAAGTGAGAAATCACTCCCTGGGGTGATAGCCATGCCACAATCCCTTCTCTTTCATTCTTCTCTCAGGATTTTGGGTACACACACACGCATGCAGCCAGCCTGATTTTCAAGCCATTAGGTCCAGGACTCGAACTGTGGAGTCAGTCATGTGGGATCCAGCTGCCTTAACCTCCATACCACCTGCTGACCCTTTGTTGTTTTCATTTGCTGATTGACTGATTTTTCTAAATAGTGGGTCTTAAAATTGTATCATACAGGAAGCCTTCACTTTTTCTTAGGAATATAATTAGTCTCCTTTTTGAAGGAAATATGTTTCTAAGTGCTTCTGGAGCATGTATATCTGCTATGTGTGGAAAGAAGGCAGTTCATAAACATGTATAACACAGACACAGTAAAGTTATAGAGAAGTGCAAATCCATTTTTAAGCTTGCCTGGTGATTTCTTGCTTTCTGTTTCTCTGTTTTCTCTGGTGAGCACACATGGCCCATAGCGAAAAATCTCTCTCTCTCTCTTTCTCTCGAAAAAAAAAAAAAAAAAAAAAAAAGAGCCAGTGTGAGGGATCAGCAAATGGCATCATAATTACATCACTGGACTCCACATAGTTGATCATGGGTTTGAGTCCCAGACTAGGCAGCTTAAAACTCACTGCAGTGCGTGTGCCTGTGTGCCCAAAATCCCAAGAGGAGAGTAGAGGAGAAGGGATAGTGGCATGGCCAACCCCACAGGGGGGTGATTTCTTGCTTTCTGTCTTTCTGTCTCTCAAGTGAGCTCACATGCCCTATAGCAAAAATCTCTCTAAAAAAAAAAGACCCAGGACCAGCAGTTAGTGTAATGGCTATGTCGCTAGACTCCCACGTAGTCGACTGTGGTTCAAGTCCTGGACCCGGCGGCTTAAACTCACGCTGGGCGCGTGTGTGTGTGCCCGAGATCCCGAGAGGAGAATGGAGGAGAAGGGATTGCGGTGTGGCCATGCCCCCCGGGGGGTGATTTCTCACTTTCTGTTGTTGAAGGTGACGCTGGCCGTGAACAAAAAAAAAACCCTCTCAAAAAAAAAAAAAAAAAACCCAGTGTGAGAGAAGCAGTAGTTCTTTTTCAGTGAGCTTGAGATATTCTTATTCCTCGAAGCCCAGGTGGCATAGCCTTTGGGGAAAGGCACTGGAGAGGAAGGCAGAGGAGGAAGGACGTGTGCCCATTAGCCATTTGCTTGGGGCTGGAGACACTGGGTCAGTGGTAGCTGAGTAACTCTTCTCTGTCTAGCTGTGATTACCAAAATGACAATGGTTTGTAGCTCCTAATTCCTGGAAATCCTGCCAATGGCAGCATAAAACTGTATGTGCAGGACCAGCAGATGGCACGGTGGTTAAGAGTGCTGGACTCCCACATGGCTGACCACGGTTCAAATCTTGAACCTGGCAGCTTCCTTTCTCACTTTCCTTCTCTCTCTCAATCTGTCCCTCTCTGGTCAAATAAAAATAAAAGTAAATAAATAAATAAGTTAAATAAAATAATTATTTAAAAACAATAAATTCCTGAGATTTAAAAAAAAACTGTATGTGAGTAGAATTTCACAAGCACACAGAGCGCAAGTTTGCTCAAGGACTAGCTGGAGGACTGGGGAAAGTGGATGGGGCATGACGAGACCCTGTCGAGGATGCCTGCCTTTCTGTCTCCCTCTGTGTTCCATCTCTCTCTCTCTCTCTCTTATATGAAAGAAATAAAATAAACAAACATCTTGATAAGATGGGACAGTGGGGCAAAAATGAGGAGGAGTGTAAGGCGGGCAAATAGCACGATGAGGTGACCACCTACAGAAAGACCGAGAGCACTCACAAGATAGAGAAGCTAACGGAAGTGAGAACATGAACAACACAGCATGCCCGCGCACACACGTGCACATTTACTTACTTTTCTGTTGAGTCATCTATGGAATTAGGGTGAACTTGTGTAATTTTGTGGTGACCTTATAAAACTGTCACCTAAATAAATATGTAAAAATATACAACTCAAGCGGAAATGGTAGAGTAGAAAGAGAAACCGATTTAAAATGACAAACTTGAGCTGAGAGCTTGGAGTAGGAGTAAAAGGTGAAGGTATCCAAATGACAATGTTTGGTAATGACAGCGTAGACACTAAAATACTCAGAGCGCAGTAATTTTAAAATCAGGAGTCATTGAAAAAAGATGAGGCCCGCAGGCTTGGCAGCGTTTAAAGCTCATGGCTGGCTTTCCTTTCTGCCCTGTGCTCCCAGAGTGCTGTCTGCCTGGGCTGTGGGGCAAGCGCGGTAGACACTGGGCGAGCGTCCCTTGCAGGCTTAGGTGAACTGCTCACTGTCTTGTCATGTAGGCCATGGGTGTCAGGAGACGGTGATGGTGTCCGTGTGCCTCTGCTCAGAAGGCTACTCCCCAGTGACCATGGGCTCCTGCTCGGTGACCTACGTGGACGACATGGCTTGCCGGCTGGCCCGCTTGCTGGTTACCCAGGTGGATCGCCTCACAGCCTCTAGCCACCAGACCCTGTTGACCCCGTTCGCCCTCACAGTGGGAGTGCTGCCTGCTTTGGATGAGGAGCTCGTGCTGGCTCTGACGCATCTGGAGTTGCCTCAGGGCTGGACCGTCTTGGGAAATTCCTCACTGGCAGGTGAGTCTTCACCAGAAAATTCAGATGCCCCCTTTCTGTGTCACGTCCTAAAGGTCCCTTATAATAAATTGTCCATTTCCCTGCATGGATTTTCCTGTTCCCTCTACCTGAGCCTCACTCTGCTGTGGCTGAGCTCCCCAAGATGAGCCACTCATCTCTGCTGCTACTCTGTCCCAGGAGGTGCAGGGTAGATGGCGCAAGGGTAAGGACTTCTCTGTGGCAGGCTCTTGAGTCAACTTCCTTGGGCTGTGGCTCCACTTCCTTTAGCAAGTTTTCTTGCTGCAAGGAGGGGACATTGCTGCCCCACTGGTGGGGTCAGTGGTAAGGAAGATCATGCATCAACTGTGTGACAGACTTTGAAGAAATGTGGCTGTGCAGGAAATGTAACCAGTGCATTGACATCTTTAAAAATGTTAGTGTCACTGGGTTTGTTTGCATTGTATGTGTACTAAATTTTGGAGTTACTAAATACTAAATGGACCTTCAATGCAGTTATTTTGAGTCTATGTGTAAACAGAGCAACCAATGTTATATATATGCCCGTAAGATTAAACTATTCAATAGTTGCTCATTATGGTGATTATAGATTACACAAGTTTATTGCAAATACGGAGATACTGCTTTGTATTTTATTGAACCTGACATCTATTATTATTTTTTTTCTGCATTCATCCCATGACCTTAGCTTTATGATTAGATGATGCTATTTTTAAGAGTTTCTGCTTCCTGATAAATCCTAGTTATAAATTACAGGTCAGCTTAAATTTGATCATGAATAAGATTAAATACACTATTCTAGGCAATGGGGTATGATTTTTGCAACCAGATTATAGGACCATAAGCCACAGTCCAAGAGGATTTCTTTCTTTCCTTTAAGCAAGGTTATATTAAAACTCTCCTGAACACTTAAGAATTTTTCTTATTTTTTAAGACCTTGGGTGAGAGAAGTCACAAGCCTAATCCAGCAATGAGCCTGAATCCTTTGTGCTGGACTTTGCTTTGTGGTAGCTGATTGATACTGATAAAGAATGGGCTCCCTGAGACTGTGGACTGTGTCCATCCTGCTCACCCTTATCCCCCAGGACCTAGCAAAAAGATATGAGGTAGATGCAGTAGTGATACTCGAAGGATACACCTTTCATTCATTCACCAAATTCTTCTTGAGTGCCTCCTGTGCACTGAGCCCTTTGCTGTCAAAGGGATATAGAGGGATTCATAAACATACATGCACATGTATGTGTGTATTTAAGTGTGTGTGTGTGTGTGCATATATGTATATAAGCCTCTTGGATGAGTAAAAAGATTTCTAACTATTATACTGGGGAATATTTCATTTTTCAGAAGGCAGATCATTTTGACAAAGACTCAGGGCTTTTATGATTTCTCACCAGTCGCTGCACTCAAGCCCATGAGTAATGAACATCAAGGCCTCATGGAAGGCACATTGGGTCAGTCCTAGGACTCCTTCCCTACTCCAGGAACTGTCTCAGTGCAGTGGCTTGGTGCCTACAGTGATTCAATTTGTGCATCTGCAAAATGACCAACTTTCATTCATGGGACTTCATAACTACATGAACAACTTAAAACTAACTTCCTCCAAAATGGCATTTATTAGGTCATTGGGAAATTACATCATGATGTAATTTTTTTCTGTTTTTCTATGCAAAACGTGTCACGACTTTCCCGAAGAACCAATATATTACCTATGGCCTATATAGTTTTTTTCATGGCAAAATTTAGATATAAATTAATGTATCTTGGTAGTTAATCTGTGGATAGGCAATAGTACCTACATATAATTTTCTATGTTGGGCAGCATGCTCAGAGTTACTTTTTTTCTTTAGTGTATTTATTTATTTCTTCCATGACTGAGACAGAGAGAAAGACCTTGGGAGAGGAGAGAGAGAGAGAGAGAGAGAGAGAGAGGAGAGAGAAAGGAGAGAGAGAGATAGAAAGAGAAGAAGTCAGAATCTGCAACAGAGATGCTGCAGTCCAGCCCCAGATCGTAAGTGTGGGCCTGGTGTACTCAGGGAGGTCTTTGGACTTGAACCGGGAACCTGTCTGTATAGAATTATCTTGCAGAACATCGCTTTTTACCACTGTGCCACATCTGGCAGCTCAAAATTACTTTTGCTGGTAGAGGTAACTAATAAATAAATCAGAGAAACAGAATACTGGGCTAAAGGTGTCAAGGGTCATCTTATTGCCCTCTCATTGCTATTTGGAGATGCACTCTGTTTACCAGGCTTCTAACTGGACTGTTGATTTGTCCATATCCTTATAACAGAAAGAATTATATCATCAAGATGTCCTTTCTGACCTCTCTGCCAATATTTATAGGGTCATTGGAAAAGTCATGATGTATTATTGCATAGAAAAAAATATATCATGACTTTTCCAATGACCCAATATATGTGTAACATGTATTTCCGTGAGAGAAAAACCAGAGTGATTGTCATGGTAAGAAATTGTAATCTGTGGGAAACAATTCTGGTGCCATAGCTGTCAAGAATACTTGCTGTTGGAGTCAGGCTCAAATCCTGATCTTTCTATTTCCTGGCTATGAGACTTCAGCAAGTTATTTTGGTTCTGGTGCCACCAATTTTTACTTTCTAAAATGAGGTGTAATAGTACCATCTCATTCACTTGTTGTGACCATTAGTGCGCTCGCCAGAAAGACAGAGAGAGACAGAGAGATAGAAAGTGAGAAATCACCCTCCAGAGGGGAAGGCCACGCTGCAGTCCCTTCTCCTCCATTCTCCTCTCAGGATCTTGGGCACGCACGCACACGCGCCTGGCGTGAGTTTAAGCCACCAGGTCCGGGACTTGAACTGCGGTCGACCACATGGGAATCCAGTGACATACTCATTATGTTAACTGCTGGTCTCTCTGAACATACTAACTTCTCAGTAAAGGTTGATTTTCACATGCGCATGTGAACAGATTTCCATATGTAGAGCATATTTTATGTAACTATGTGTGTGTATAGGGAAAACAATTTAGAGTTGTTATGTATAAATGAAAGTACAGGTGAAGGATAAAATCCTGCTATGTTAAACAATTACTCTGAAAATTACCAAGAGCTTTTCTAGTCTTTTCCTAATAGTTTGTAGTATTTGATGTAACCTTGTCTGTAGCCTCGACGCGTAATGAGTTTCTCTTACAGCATCAGTGCCTGGGAACAGAATTAGTAGCCATGTTTTAACTAAATTGTACTTGCAGGTTTATGACCAACTCATGGGATTTGATGCCTTCCATCGCGAGCTTAAATCTGTATCTGCTGGGACAAACAGATGGCATAATGGTTATGTCGTTGACTCTCACCTAGTCAACCATGATTGAAGTTCCTGACCTGGTGGTTTAGAACTCGTTCTGGGGACATGTGCATGCGTGCCCAAAATGCTGAGAGAAAAATGGAGAAGGGATTGCGGCATGACCATCCCACCTGGGGGGTGATATCTCACTTTCTCTCTGACTCTCTCTGCCTCTCTAGTGAGTGCACATGCCCTGGAGCAAAGTTCTCTTTAAAAAGAAAAAAGTCTGTATCTGCCTTCCCAACCTCATTTCTGTTGTGTATGTATGTTAAGTCCCATATTGCATAATGGCTGACTTTAGATTGATAGTCTTTAACAGATGCATTTAAAAGGACGCTTTTGTCAGAATTATTCTAGCTTTTTAAAAAATTTTTTATAAAAAAAATTGGGCACTGAAGTGAGTAGATTTGAATACAAATTATTTTACATCACTTTAATTTTTTACTTTATAAATTGTATTAGATACAATTATCTGGGGCAGGGCTTGAGCTTTATTATTTTGACTAAACCAAGTAACGAGGCGTAAATTAATCATTATTTAGTTGGAAATAAACAAGAACATTTAGTGGAGTACTAACATTGATGCCCTAGATCAACTGGGTCATCTAATATGAATTTTACAGTGCATTTGTGTATCAATGGATGAGCTTGGCTCATTGTTTACTTAAATTCATTTGGTAGAGGTTCTGATAATTTTGTTTGTTTTTGTTTGTGTTTGTGTGTGTGCTTGCCAGAAAGAGAGAGAGAAAGAGAGAGAGAGACAGGGAAAGGGAGAAATCACCTCTGGAGGGATGGCATCCACAATCCCTTCTCTATTCTCCTTTTGAGATTTTGAGTACACACACTCATGTGCCTCGCATGTTTTTCAGGCCTCTAGGTCCAGGACTCAAACTGTGTGGCTGGTCATATGGGATCCAGCCACTTTAACCACCATGCCACCAGCTTGCCTGTTCTGCTACTTTTGGACCATTCTGGATGTGTCCTTTGTGATACTTAACTCTTAACTTAGTGAAGTTTTATCTAAGCAGTTTAGAATCTCTCATATGCTCATATATTTTTTCTAGGATACATATTTTGTTAGAGTCGCTTGTCTTTGAGGGAGGTAAAGTATAGTATTAAAGTGAGACCTGGAGTTTATAATGTGTTAGTGTTAGTGGCAGCGTACGTGGAAATGTTTCTTTCTTAGTAACTATTTATCTTAGTATTTATCTAGAAACCATTTTCATACTTGCTGTTACTCTTATTAAAACCTCTTTGTGTTTAGCAATTTATTTTTGATATTTTTAGAAATAAACAGAGAAGATTAAATAAGTATTGATTGATTTCTGCAATGGTTTTGTCTTGGAAGAGCCTGACTGAAGCCTTATTGTGAAACATTACTGTATTTCCTTGCATTTCATGATAAGTCTCTCTCTTTTTTTTTCCTCCTCTTCAGTCATTGAGACTTTGCAGGCAGACCTGAGATGCTGAAGAAGGCCCAGAGTCCGAGTGGAGTTGTTGTGTCTCATAAAAAAAAAAGCAGAACCTCTTACCCATCATTAGTCACAATGCAGCTTCATTATATGTTTGAGGAAAGGAAATACCCCCGTTTTTATTTAATTTTAGGCCATAAATAAAATTGGATTTCTGTTTCACAAAATTAAGCCTGTTCCTTCTGCGAAATGACTTTCACGACAGAAGCGTTTG